GGAGAGTTGCATTAAGAATTACAAACAAATAGTCACAACCCTGAGTCACACTTCTTTTTTGTTTTTCCTTAATACAGAAAGGAAAGTCCATGAAACAAAATAACAGTTTTTGTAGATAGTATTATGGATTGAAAAATTATAGACTTCAAAAGAAATACTAGAGACCTTCCCATCATATACAAATGTTTTTATATAGCTACTTAACAACCAGGTGTGTTTTTTGTTGTTTATTTTATAAGTTTAGAAATTTAGCCCAAACCGGTTTGGCTCAGTGGATAGAGTGTCGGCCTGTGGTCTGAAAGGTCCCGGTTTCGATTCCGGTCGAGGGCATGTACCTGGGTTGCGGGCACATCCCCAGTAGGAGATGTGCAGGAGGCAGCTGATAGATGTTTCTCTCTCATCAGTGTTTCTAACTCTCTATCCCTCTCCCTTCCTCTCTGTAAAAAATCAATAAAATATATTTTAAAAAAAAGAAATTTAGACAGTTTCACTATAGGAACATCTGCCTCATGATTACTTCTTTGATAAATTCGTGTTAAAAATTTTTTTTTTTGTTAATCCTCACCTGAGGATGTTTTTCCATTGATTTTTAGGGAGAGTGGAAGAGAGAGGGAAAGACAGAGAGAAACATCAATGTGAGAGTAATACATTGATTGGTTTCCTCCTGCATGAGCCCTGACCAGGGCCTGGGCTGGGGAGGAGTTTGCAACCAAGGTACATGCTCTTGACCGGAATCAAACCCGGGGCCCTTTGGTCTGCAGGCCGATGCTTTATCTGCTGAGCCAAACCAGCTAGGGCAAAATTTTTCATTTTTTGATAAGGAGCAATGGTATTTAGATGAACAAACATTTATCGAGTATCCACTGTCAAACAGCTGTAGTGATAGGGAATGAATCTAATTGCTCACAACACTGAGGTTGATGTTATCACCATTTCACAGATAAGGAAACTGATGTTCAAAGGTGTTATCTAGACAGTAAGTGGAAAAACTGAAATTTGAACCCAGGCAGAGACCATATTTTTCTCATTTATGTTGAGTAAATGAGTAATTTGAAGATGCATTAGAGAGGACCTTCCCTTCAAAAAACTTACGGTCTCCTTAAGAGGATAATATTTATCAAGATCAGTAACAAAGTAAGAAAAAAAAAATTAAGTAAGATGCACACAGAACACAGAGATGAAAGATTGCTTCCAGCCAGGTAGGTCAGGAAAGTCTTTAGGAAGAAAGATGCTTTAAAAAGTATTTTTTTCAGCCCTAGCCAGTTTGGCTCAGTGGATAGAACGTCGGCCTGCGGACTGAAGGGTCTCGGGTTTAATTCCAGCCAAGGGCACATGCGCAGGTTGCTGGCTCGATCCTAGTTGGGGGCATGTAGGAGGCAGCCAATCAATGATTCTCTTTCATCATTGATGTTTCTATCTCTCTCTCCCTCTTCCTTCCTCTCTGAAATCAATAAAGAAAAAAAATATATTTTTTTCAGAGATAGGAGGACATTTCTGGCAGAGAGAATAGCAAGCAGGTAACTCTGAGTTATATCCAGAGAGGAGAAGGTAGGCAGGTAGGAGGTGTTTAGTGAATGGTGGGGATTGGTCCAGGAGGAGTGTAGCACTTGAAGAGCAAGCAGTGGAAGGCCAGGCTGACGAGACTGGGACCAGGTTCTAGATTCTTGGTACATTTCTTCAATACCCCGTGCCCTCTTTAGTCATGCTATGGTACCATAACCATTTGAGAGTACACTATATGTGGAGTTTTATGCCTCTTTACAAACTTTGCTCACATTTAAAAAATATATTTTTATTGATTTCAGAGAGGAAGAGAGAGGGAGAGAAACATCATTGATGAGAGAGAATCATTGATCGACTGCCTTCTGCACACCCCACATTGGGGATTGAGCCCACAATCTGGCATGTGCCCTTGGCCAGAATTGAACCCAGGACTCTTCAGTCCACAGGCCTGAACATTTTTTCCCCATGGTCTGTAATGCCATTTACTGCCTTATTCCTCTGATTCATTGATAGCCTTCCCTGGGTACTCCAGTAAGAATTAATTGCAGCAGTTTTGGTGGTCCCTCAAATGTAGCATATATTTCTAGTTCACATTTATTTCATTTTACCTTACATAATTGTTTACATTTCTCTCCAACTAAAGGGTAATCTTCTGGAGAGCAAGATGAGGTCATATTTATCATTATATCCATTCTTTCAATTCTAAGGGCCCCGTTTAATCTTTGTACATAGTCAATAATTAAAATATTTGTGGAATTAAATAAATAATGGTGTAGAAATTTATATTTATTTTCCCTGATAAATGTTAAATTAGTGCCCAAAACTACTGAAAGTAAAAGAAGGAAGAGGTTAAATTATTCTTTATAGTTATACTAAAGGCCCTGTGCATGACATTTGTGCACTTTGGGGGGGGGGTGGTCCCTCAGCCTGGCCTGTGCCCTCTTGCAGTTCGGGACCCCTTGGGGGATGTCCGCCTGCCAGCTTAGGCCCGATTCCTGAAGATTCCCCCAGGGATTCCCCTGGGGACCGGGCCTAAGCCAGCAGTCAGACATCCCTCTCGCAGTCCGGGACCCCTCACTCCTTACTGCCTGCCTGCAGCAGAGGTAGGAGAGGCTCCTGCCACTGCTGCTGCTCTTGCCAGCCGTGAGATGCTCCTGTGTTGAGCGTCTGCCCCCTGGTAGTCAGTGCGCATCATAGTGACCAGTTGTTCTGCCATTCGGTTGATTTGCATATAAGCCTTTTTTGATATAGGATTTTGTTTATACATGTAATGCTTTTAATAAAGATAATGGTAGAAAATAAATATGTTCTTATCCTACCTTTTGTTTCTCATTTATAAAGTGTTATAATATATTCATTAGTAATGAAATCATAAGCTCACAATAAATGTTAATCTCTTATTGAGGTGGTTGAGAATGGAATGATTGTTTTTTGCTAGCGTATTTTAAAATGACTGTAGGGATGCATATATGTGTGCTTGTTTTTAGATTTAAAAAATTTATTTTTCTTAGACACTGAGAATGTCCCAATTATTTATTATAGACAGATATTTCAATTGCAGTATAAGTGAGTTATTTAAAGCTGTCATATTCTGATCTTGCCACACATTAATTGAGAGACTATAGGCAAAATGCTTAAATTCTCTAAATATCACTTTTCCTGTCTGTAAAGTGAAACAAGAATATCTTGGATCGTGATCGTGAGAATTTGAAATAATGTAAATAAAGTATTTTTGTCTGGTACACAATAATGCTAAATAATTATACCAGTTTTCTTATTTTTTTAAAAAAATATATTTTATTGATTTTTCACAGAGAGGAAGGGACAGGGATAGAGAGTTAGAAACATTGATGAGAGAGAAACATGATCAGCTGCCTCCTCCACACCCCCTACTGGGGATGTGCCCACAACCAAGGTGCATGCCCTTGACAGTAATCGAACCTGGAACCCTTCAGTCCGCAGGCCGACGCTCTATCCCCTGAGCCAAACTGGTTAGGGCCAGTTTTCTTATTTTATTTACGTAGCATTTAATATGAGCTTGGTATATGTTTCATTAATTTAGTATTATGCCCTAGCTTGATCAACTTAATCCTAAAATTCTCTTTTCAGTTTTAGTAAAATGAAGACAATATATCTAAATATTACTGATTTCATTCTATTAAATATAGGCTTATGGAGCTTATTTGAATATATAGGAATTATGTCAAGACCATGATAGACAAAAATCTAGTAAATATGAATAGGCTGTTCATAAGATGAAAATAGTAAACAATGAAAAAAAGTTCATATTAGTGATTGGAAATTAAATATATAAAGTAAAACAATCAAAGTATAATTTTTTATTTACCACATTCATTTTTTTAGTATAATTATATAGATTGGAGTTACAGGGACTTAAATACATTCATGTTATATAAATAGATACAGTACATTTGGAAGACAATTTGGAAATGTTTAGTAGGAGCCTTGCTGGTATTTGTATTGTTTGACAGTAGTTCTACTCCTAGAAGAATATCCACAGAAAATAATCTACCAGACAAAAAATGTGTATTAAAATATTTTTATAATATTATCTATAACAATAAAAGCAAACAGGAAACACCCTAAAGAATAAGATAAATGATAGCATATTAAACTATGGGATTGTTTCACAGCTGTTAAAAATGCATACTGTAGCAATGTAGGAGAACGCATATGTAATAATGTTGAATGAAAAATATATAACAAAACTGTATATCATTGCTATAATTATGTAAAAATGTGTGTAACAAAGGATAGTCTTCAAAGAGGAATGTGAATGAATTGTGTTAAATTAGTTGATTATGAGTGATTATTTTTTTCTTTTGAAAATTTGCAGTCAATTCTTGAAATATTTGTGGAATTAAATGAATAGTGGTATAGAAGTGTTTCTTTTCTTTAGTAAATATTAAATTAGTACCAAAAACTACTAAAAGAATGAAGAGGTTGATTTGATTATTCTTTATAGGCATATTGTATTATAAAGTTATTTCAATGTCAACTTTTAAGAAAGAGTTATACTTATCATAAGTAGAAGAAAATCTTGAGGATAATCTCCTTATCCCTGACAGCTTAGACAGTGATGGCGAACCTATGACACGCGTGCCGGAGGTGACACACGAACTCATTTTTTTGGTTGATTTTTCTTTGTTAAATGGCATTTAAATATATAAAATAAATATCAAAAATATAAGTCTTTGTTTTACTATGGTTGCAAATATCAAAAAATTTCTATATGTGACACAGCACCAGAGTTAAGTTAGGGTTTTTTCAAAATGCTGACACACTGAGCTCAAAGGTTCGCCATCACTGGCTTAGAACAAGGTATAGCTATCATTAAAATTACTGTGACATGAGATCTATATGTCAGTATAATGTGAGCATATATTTCTATATAAAATAAAATAAAGACCTTAAAGAGAAGCCGAGCTTTAAAGGATAGGACTATTTGTTTTTAATATGACTTCTCTTTATTTTAGAACTGATAGATGTCACACGCACCCTGCTGCTTCTAAACCCAGACTTTACCACGGCATGGAACGTGAGGTATGTCATTCTTATCAGTGATAAAATGAAGTTCTCCAAATTTCTGAAGACATACAAGCCCCAGAGTTGTTAGCTTTTTGAAAAATGAAATAGAAACCATTTGTCCATGGCATCTTCTACTCGTTCTTTATAATAAGCCCATGAAAATTTTAACATACACTTTGCCCCTTTTTGCATATTTATGTCTGTTCTCTGTAAACTTCTTTCCTGAAATATAAATCATCATGTTGAATTACAGTATACCATTTGATACCTACTTTTATTTTCCTTTCTTTTTAAGAGAGGTAGGGGCAATCAGCATAGTTGGTTGACGAGTAAGACCCTGGTTAGTATATTTGAGAAGCATTACAGTGTGTGGGGTGAGCATTCAAGGCCACAAACTTGTAATCTCAGTTTAGTCACTAACAGTGGGACCTTTGGCGGCAAGTCACCTGCAGACTCTGGCACTCAGTGTTTTAGAGAGAGGTCATATTTTGTTGATATCTTTAATTCTATTATTGTAGCTTTAAACACAAATACTTGATCGAACTATTACAATTCAGACCAGGTTCATGTTTTTCAATATATATGGTTTTTAAAAACTGGTGGTTCCTTAGACTAACACAAATCTCTTAAGAGGAAGGCAGGATACAAATTATCCTATATAATAAAAGCATGATATGCTAATTAGACCAGACGTCCTTCCAGACGGCCTTCTGTGTGTGAAGCCGGGGCTGCAAGGGCTGAGGCAGAGGCGGCCGCCATGGTGGGTGGGGCCCGAGGCAGCTGCCATGGCAGCAGGATCCAAGCCCCTTGCACGAATTTTGTGCATCGGGCCTCTAGTAGATAAATAAAAGTGAAGTCTCAATGAACATTGTGAATACATTTTAATTTTTCTATAGAGAATAGCCATGGATTATAACTTTTTATCTTTAAAGGTTACTTAAATAATACTTCATTTAATTTTCTTTTCTTTATTTATTTTTATTTTTTTGTTAATCCTCACCCGAGGATATTCTTCCATTGATTTTTTTTATTTTTAGGGAGAGTGGAAGAGAGAGGGAAAGACAGAGAGAAATGTCGATGTGAGCAAAACACATCGATTGGTTGCCTCCTGCATGAGGCCTGGGCTGGAGAGGAGCCTGCAACCAAGGTATGTGCCCTTGACCAGAATTGAATCTGGGACCCTTTGGTCCGCAGGCCGATGCTTTATCCACTGAGCCAAACTGGCCAGCATCTTCATTTAATTTTCTGTGAATTTTAAGCAAGTTTATATTCTGAGTTAGTATTTTTTAATAGCTGCTGAATTTTGTATTTAACTGATTTTTTAAATTTTAGGTAACTTTTACGATGTCTTTTTTAAATTGTCTTTTGAATAATTAATGATCAGATATAAAGAGTGAGTTATATAGCTTCAAAATATATGTAATTTTATAATTCTCATTTTCTTTTATGGAAAGCACCACAGCAGTAGGGAATAGACTAATATTTATGAGTGGCTACTATATTCTAAGGACCATACTACAACTTTATACATTATCTTATTTAATCCACACAGTTCTTAACAACTTTTTTTTCATTCATCAAATATTGATTGATAATTACTGTGTGCTAGGTTCTAGGCACTGGGAATAAAACCAAGAATAAAACAAACAAAACTCCCTGTCCTTGTGAAATTTTTATTCTAATAATAATAAGAAAAGCAATAAGGACATTCACAAGTAAAATATATAATAGACCATGGGTTGGCAAATCCTATGGGGAGAAGCTGGGAAAAGAATAGGGAAGGCCAGAAAGAGAAAAGAAAGAGTGGTATTGCAGTGCGAAATAGGAGACATTAGAGAAAAGACTGCGTGAAATAAGGGATCAGTCTTTGTGGATTCTAGGGTAGGAACATTCCAAGTGGACAGAACAGCAAGTGAAAAAGCCCCCAGTCATCTCTGAATTGTCCCTAGGTGTTCTGGGACAGCAAGGAGTCCAGTGTAACTGGAGTAGCATGAAAGAGGGAAAGAATAATTTAGCTAAGAGATACTGGTGACTTGAAGACGAGCTCGGCAGGGAAGTCAGAAGTCATAAGATTCTCACCTATTTTATAAACTGTATAAGCTTATACTGTATTTAATAACCTGGTTTAAAGACACAGATGATGAATTGAATATGAGAGAATCAAGAGGGTGAAGTTTGACTCTGGTTTTGGGCCTAAGCAACTGAAAGGACGGACTTGCCATTTACTGAAAAGGGGACATCTAGAAGAGGAGCAGATTTAGGTGGGGCTGCTGGTTGGCAAGTCATTTTGGGATGTTAGGTTTGTGTCTGGCTTGTTGTGTATGAATCTAAAATTCAGGTGAGAGTTCTAGGCCAGATGTTAATTTGGGAATCACTGGAAAATAGATAGTATTTAAAGCCCTGAGATTGTTTGAGATACTCAAAGAAGTGGGTATAGGTAGAAAAGAGACCCAGTCCAAAGACTGAGCACTGCTACACTACAGTTTTCTAGAGTTGCACAGCCCAATATAGTAGCCACTAGCCATATGTGGCTATTGAGCCCTTGAAATGTGACTCAGTTGAAAGGTACTGTAAGTGTAAACTACAGCAGATTCTGAAGACTTAGTGCCCCTAAAGTAAAATATCTTATTACTAATTTTTATATCGATTATGTGTTGAAATTATAATATTTTGGAGGTACTGAGTAAGGTAATCAGGGCACTGAAAATAAGTAAATGCAGTGAAAAAGAAAGGAAGGCAATAGAGAAGTGGGAATACCATTTTTATTCATGTTCTCATATTCTTCATTAGAGAGAAATTGAAAATCCTTAAACAAAAAAATTCCTCTTAGCATAATGTATGTACATACATGTACATACACACACATATATAATTCAGTGGAGGAGAAAGAAAAAAATCTTAAGATATATGAATCTTAAGTCCTATTTCATCAATTAACTACCAGACAACTTTGGACAAAACCTATTAACTCCTCAAGAGATTTAGTTTCCATATCTGTGAATAAAAGATTTGAATTAAGGTGATTATTTTTATGATTCTTTTGAAATGGACTTTTTTTTTATTACATGTGGTTTGGTCTTATGAAATGAAATTGTTCTATAAAATAATTTCAGTGATGTTAATAGCAGTTAATCTTGAACTTATTCTAGGAAGATTATTGGGAAAGTTTTTTGCCAGATGAGTAGAAAGGAAATTTTGATTTTTTTTAAAAAACATTGTAGATATGTGTTCTAGTAAATTTTTAAAAAAATATATTTTATTGATTTTACAGAGAGGAAGGGAGAGGGATAGAGAGTTAGAAACATCGATGAGAGAGAAACATCCATCAGCTGCTTTCTGCACGCCCCCGACTAGGGATCGAGCCCACAACCATGGTACATGCCCTTGACCAGAATTGAATTCGGGACCCTTCAGTCCGAGGGCTGATGTTCTATCCACTGAGCCAAACCAGTTAGGGCTGTTCTAGTAAATTTTAATTTGTATTAGTAAGATTGATTGAGTTACAAAGACGTGGAATCATGAATACATAGTGAAGAAAAAACAACCAGCTTTGGAAGTAAACTGATCTAACCCTGTACGATCTTTTGCAAACCAAAGACTTAACATTTTATGTTTAATTGTTGGTGTATTTCTTCTGCAGGAACTCTGGGAAGAATTGAGAGATTTTTGACTGCATTTTATAAACTGCTAAAAACTGGTATAGCACATTGGTACTTAAATTTATAGGTGTTTCAGTCTTAGGAAAAAAAATACAGGCAAGAGTAAGTTTTTGAACTGATATCCTGAGGTTAGAGTAAGTGATGCATGTAGGTTAAAAATCCATCTGGTTATAGAAAAAAGTGACAGATGCTTCTCTTTTTTTCTCCTATTTTGTTTTCTTTGAATTTGCTTTGAAAATTGGTGAATTACTTGATGAAAGAGGTTGACTTCATAACAATGTCCTATTTTTCCAACAGTCTGCACATAGAATAAGCAGAACATCATTGAGTAGCTGAGTAGCTGACAACAAGCTGCAGTGATTCGGGTCCTTTACTCATGGCCTATTGGTTTAAATTGGTAACTTTATGGATCTAATTTTTGGTTCTGACACTTTGAGCTTGGAGACCTTGATCATGTTATTGAATCTCTCCCTAATTCAGTTTCCCCATCTGTAAAATTGAGTTAATATTAGATTGCACTACATGAAATTGTTGTTTTTGTAGGTCAAAGATGATGAAATCCAAGCATTCAGATCCTGGTTTCTAATACCAGTCTCTAATAGAAAGAACTGGGCTTCTTGGGAAAATGGCTGATTTTAAAACAGAGCAGGGAACATACAAGATGAGCCTGGAATATTTTACAGGGCCAGGAAGTTAGGAAGTAGTCAGGAAGTGCTCAAAAATAATATGAGCCAAAGCTGGAATAAGTTGAATAATAAAATAATATTGGCTTATACCCCAGAGTATAAAATGGATATCTGTAAGTTCATACTGACATCAATAAATGATTGAATAAATAAATAGGACACAATAGACAAATTCACTATAGAGAAGATTTCTGAATAATTTGTCTGAATAATTTGAGGGGTCAAGGAGGGGAGTATAATTCCCTACTCAAGTGTGACTTCCAAAAAGTACAGTGGAGAAAACCTGGTATACACTACCTCAGCCAAGTAATCCAGGTCAGCATCAACAATGACAAGCCATGCTATTATGTGCCCCTGATATGATGTGATGAAAATGGCACTTTACCTCTGGGGTCTCTTCCTCTTCAAAACTCATAATCCTAGTCTTACCATGAGAAAACATACAAAATACCTAATCAGTACTCTGTCAAGGCCATTAAAAATGAGGTATACCTGAGTATACTTGAGGGATCAAGAGGAACCTAAGGAGACGTAATAGTCGAATGTAATATGCTATCCTGGATAGGACCCTGGAATCGAAAAAGGGCATTTGGTAAAAGCTAAGGAATTCCAAAAAAAGCATGGTTCCAATAGTTATCTGTCAATAATGGTTCATCAGTTATTACAAATGTACCATAATATGTTAATAATAGAGGAAACTGGGTAAATGGCATGCAGGAATTCTCCTTACTATGCTTATAAATTTTGTCAGTTTTTAAAAGAATTCTAAAATAAAAGGTTTATTTCAAAAAACAATTGAATATTGGCATTTCACGTGGTTCAACATAATACTTACAGGATTATTGTAAGAATTAAATTAGATAATATATGCAAATCACTTAACATAGTGCCTGACTCAGGAGAAGTTCAATAAATGGTAGTTTTTATAGGGATGACTTTTATTATTATCATTTACTGTCATTTCAGACAGACTAACTGAAGATTGAGGGAAAGGTAGCATTTGTTTATTCAGTATCTACCATGTGCCAGTTACTGAGTTAACCAGTGAAGGTTTAGTCATAGACAAGTCCCCTGGTCTCCTACAAATTTTGACTAGAATGACAGCAGAGAGGAGCAATAATTAATAGTTTGCAATAGAGAGAAAAATGTAAAAAAATTTAAGATAAACTTTGCAGAAGTATAAAAATACAGTAACATATATAGGAATAAAGCACACCACTCACCTTAGTAACCACTGGATGCTCCATGGGTATTATTTTTAGCTTCAGCACTAGCTAGTCTTTGTAACAGTTAGTGATCACACAAAAATTAGAGTTTTCAAGAGAAAGTGATGAGATTTTTCCATATTCTCTTTAATCAGAAAGTAAAATATGCAGCAAAAATTTTGAAGGAGTAATTTTTATTGCTTGAAAAATCTGTGTGAAAAACTTCATTCCTTTTATAATTCTACCTTGTACTGTTTCTTAAAATTTCTTAGTTTACTCCCTTCTCCCACCTTGTTAAAAAAAAAATCCTCACATAATTTCATCCCACAGCACAGTTTCCCATGTAGCATGGCACTGTTCCTTATCACCCGTGCTCTCTTCTCCCAAAACAGCACAGGTGTCTTTTGCTTTTCTAGTTAGTTCCCCTCACATTTATTTGATGGCCCTCACTTTATTCCTTATTCCCATGTTAGCTTACCACCCAATGCTTGTAGGATAGATAGAGAAGCACAGCTTATGCTTGAAAATAAAGCCACCTCAATTAAGGCAGTACTCAATTTCCTCAATTTATTAAAAAGTCCAAAAAAGATTGTTTTAGGCTAATACCAATATGTGCATGAAATAATAAGCAAATGTCTTATGATATTTAATTTTTCAATTTAGTTATAAATTGGGTGAGGGGATGATGGCTGTTTGCAGCTGGTCACACCCCCTTCAGGGTGGGGGTCTCCACTTGTGTGCCTGGCCAGTCTGGGTGAGGGGCTGAGAGCCGTTTTCAGGCTGGTGGGCGACTGAAGTTCCCAGCCTCTTTTTTTTTCTTTTTTTTTATTCTGGGATTTATTTACAT